AATGTCACACTATCAATGAAAAAGACTGAAAACTACATGATTTTGTTGACGTGATTATATTTCGGGAAAATGAACACGTACATTTAGTCTTCAATTATAATCTGGAGTATATAAATTTAATCTATCAATTATTCACTGTGTAAGTTTATACCGTACTCTAAGTTCATAATAAAGTATGTAACAATTTTTAGTCTTTAGGATTGTTGGGTCGAATTCATTATCCAGCTATCATCCAAACGTAGCGCTTGCTGCTAAAAGCAAGTTAGCAAGTACAAAGAAATAATGTTACACATTCGTTTCTAGCTATAATTTTTGACATAGGAAATCTTAATTTTAGTAATCGAATCTGAGACCTCATTAAAGCGTTGAACCTACACTATAAATAAATAAATGACTAAATTGACGACACTATGATCAACCGTAATATTAACTAATGTGAGAGATTAAAGGAGTCATTTTCTAACCCTTTTTTTTTTTTTTTCATTCTCATCCTACTCTAGCTCCTAGTCTCCTTTCCCATTCTTTTTGCTTCTCAAACATTCATCTGATGTATAGAAAGTATCTTTCTTTTTGAAGGTTTTGACAGGTGATTCTATGGGGTTGTGTAAGGCCACATGCATGATATTGACTATGCATGAAATATATCATGCATGAATGTAGTGTGTGTGTATATATATATATCCTTTCCAGTTTCCATACACATATAGATAGATAGATAGATAGATAGATAGATAGATAGATAGATAGAAGTTAGAAGCTAGGTAGGTTAAGGACCACAGAAGAGGTGTAAGTGTTGTGGTCTCATCCATGTAGGAAGTACGTGGTGTGTGGTGGATGTGGGAGTCTCACATGTTATCACATGGGCAATTTGGTCCAAATCTTTTGGGGCAAGCTAAGCTAAGCTAGTAACTCAATTAACTGTCTTGTCCAATCAATCATTAGCAAATGGGGGACACCCATCATATCCATTAATCACTTGCTGGGCCGGTATAGTACTAGATACTACTACATACGTACTAGGATTTTTTTTTTTTTTCTTTCTTTTTTGTGTTCAGATGAGTATGTTTTCTGTGCAAGCAATAAACGAGTAACTGAACCCAACAGGGTAGCTTAAGTAGCAAATGAGTTCTTTTTGTAGGGGAAAATTTCGGGATAAATCGGGTTCGATTCTCACAAGTGACGATCCCCTTTGGGCCAGCTTCTGTGCTGGGTGGACCTGGACAGTTAAACGGACAGAAAAAGACTCGGACCATAATGTGTGTTGACACAAAAAAAAAAAAAATAAATAAACGAGTAACTGTTGAGCTTCTGGGTAAACAAAAGATTCAGAATTAGTGCATCATTGTCAGAAGAGTAATATAATGATATGTATATAGTACAAGTTTTAGTATTAGTATAAAGAAATAGATAAATATTAACTAGAAATGAATTAGATGAGTTGGCAATTCAAAGCACTTATTTGGTACAATGAAGGTCCAAGTTTTAAATCTTTTGTTGGCAGTTTCACAATTTCTCTTGGCTCCTTTAATAGCTTTAATATAATATTTAATACACATGTAAGTTATAACGTGTTCTCAAATATTTTGTTATAAATATTTTTATAAAATTTTGATGTGTTTTATTTTTAACCCATATCCAACAATATTTATACCTATATTTCTTGCATATTTTTTTTTCAAATTATTTCTTGTGTTTTCATGTTTTGCCTTCACTCAAAAAATTTATGCACCCGTCCTTGCTTCTTGGCCCCCGCTCAACAGAATTTCTGGCTCCGTCCCTGATTGTGGATCTTGCTCCAAATTTTATATATATATATATATATATATATATATATATATATATATATATATATATATATATATATATATATTAGTGATCATACGAGAACCATTCTCCCCATGAGTCATGAGAATCAATCTGGTTTATTAAAAAAATAGATCAATAGATGACATTAATTGATGAATTAAAAACACGCATGTGCATATGGAACATTATGCTGTGTGCATATTAAGCATGTCCACATGTTGCACACAGCATAATGCTCCATGTAGAAGTTATTTATTAGTCTTCTTAATTTGAATTTATAAATTATGATTAATTTAAGTTGATTTACTGGCCTCTTTGAGATCATAAAACAAATTTTATCAAAAAGACATCCTTCAAATAACAAATTTCACCTAGAAAATATCATTCAAATAGCAACTACTATACAACATTTTTCATAAACCAAAAATTATAATTCATCCAAAATCAATTGGATCCACGAATTAAACCGATAAAATTAATCGATCACCCATTCAAACTCACTTCACATCAATCAAGATGTTACACTTCAAAAACCTATATAGTATTGGTCAAAAACAAGGTTGCATGATATTGATATGATAGGGGGCACAAATACTCCCTCCGTACACAAAAATAGGTGGTCACATACCTCCTAATAACCTATACTTAGGTAAACAAAGCCCCATTTGATTCAATGAAAACTACACTTTTCTCATCGTGCGTGCATGCTTGCATGGACTTGAAATCACGTGCCCACACCCTCCCACCCTGCTATCCCAGCTTGACACGTGTACTTCCACTCCTCCTTCGCTAGACCGCTCCACATGACACTCCACGCCCACCTGTTTTCTAGGTCCCCTCCTTACATTAAATACTCACGTGGGTTTAGGGCTTTATAAACCAATAGATACAGTTGGCCATATTCCCTATACTATTATATTGGATTCTCCTTTTATACATATCCAATTTTTTTGCCCCTTAATATAATATATTACTATTATTGTCAATAATATTGAATATAATCATATACATTATTTTGTATTATATAAAATACTATAAACGTTGTTGTCAATGTTACCTGCAGGTACAACTTGGTATAATATATATGATTATATCTGGTACTATCAATATTATATAACAATTCATATTATAGTATTATACACACAAAATGATATTGCTAAAGTTTACACTATTTAGAGGGCAACCTAAGCTTGAATAGTTAGTTTGGTAATAATAAAGTTATCTACTTATTATCTATTAACTGAAATTTATGTAATTTGTCGTTATTTTAGGTGAGAACTAGTTGCTCGGCGAGAGCATACAAACTAATCTTATCCTTCTCTGATCTTATGATGATCACGAGCTAAGGTTTAAAAAAAAAAAAATAATAAGATGTCTTTTCTATATTTACGACGATGCATTTGTAAATGCTTGATATATAGTACATTCACAAATAATTAACAGTGCATTTAAAATCTATAATAGTGGACTCATGTGTACACATTATTTGTTAATTATCCATTGATACACTATTAAACGTTTAGAAATGTGCCATTATATAATTTACATAATTGTCACATTATTTTTTTCCCCATTTTGTGGTTGAAGAAACCTCGTACTAACCAAACTACCTTATCCCAATTTATGATTTCAATTAAATGTTATTGCCACATAAACATGTAGCCCCCCATGTACCAATTTAAAATTTAACGCATGCTATCCTTGGCCATTCTGGTCAAAATTATTAGTTCTCAAATATATTACTCCTTAGTATCAAAAGCTTATTATTACCCTAAAATTATAAAATTAGTAATACATGTGCAAAATATTTTCTTATATTTACATATATAATAATTATCGTAATATTTTGATCATAGAATGTTACACTTGTACTTCTAAATCCCCACCAAACACATATGAAATATATGTGGAGTTAAAAGCAGAAGTGGTCTACAACATGTGAGGAAAATGATTGGATATATATGATTGATGTATATATATATATATATATATATATATATATATATATATATTATGATCAGATATTTTGTACGTGTTATCATGTTGTGTTATATATATTTTTAATTATTTAATGATGCATTAGTTTAACTTTCAATTATCTGTTGTCTTTGAAACTTTGTTAAATTAAAGGAAAATAACTTGTATATAAATATGATAACCCGGTATCAGTCAATCAATTTGTAAGTCCTCATTCACTTATAAATATGAAAATTGAACAAATTAAAGAGTCCTCCAATGAATAACATCTAAAATGAATTTTCTTTTCTTTTCTCTTTCTTGGCATATGACATTTTGTTTGACAGTATGTATTCCACTGTCATGAGACTAATTCGGATTTAATACGTGTTGCAACTTATAAATTTGATTCTTATTTGAGAAAAAGTTTGACCAAAAATTCTTTAGCATTACTTCATTTAAATAACTCATATTATGATTGTCGATTTACAAATAATAATTAATAAATATAAAAATTGTAATACTTAATTTACTTACATACCTAAAATCCGATAAGATCAATGATGGAAAAGAAATTGATGCAAGTAAGATTTTTATTAATCTAATTTTTCTATGAAATTAAAGTGTTTTTCTTTTACAAAAAGAATTAGTATATGTCATGATGCATTGACATATATAAACTTTTTTTCTAAAATATATTTTATCATATAACTTTGCACAATTGCACGTGTCAAATCATATAAATATAATATTTATATCCATCATTCAACATTTTATATATAATATCCTAAAGATAGATTCCATATTTAACAGACTGCGTTTTTTTTTTAAAAAAGTTTTTCATTTCTTCCTTTTTCCTTCTCATTTTTTTTTTTTGTTTTTAATTTAGAAAATGTTAATCTAATGATTTAATATCACATGTATCTTGTAGTTTGATAGCATTACTTATTACTTTCCATAACAAAGGTCTCAAATTTAAATCTCGTATCAATCAGGGTTGGCAGAAAAACTGAACCTCACCAAGTGGGTAGAGCATGATTCTCGTACTTAAAAGTTAAAGTTCACGAGTTTGATTCTTGTCAACACCTTCTTGGTCTTTCTAGTGCAGTTAAGTTTACTCATCTTGTGTGGAATACATCTTCAAGTGGTTGAATCCATCGCGCAATGGTACCAAGTGTAGACGTGCACTACACTTTTAGATACTGATTGCGGTTTTCTTTATAAAGAAAAAAAGGTAATTGCCAAATGTAACAATAAGTTTATTACATAAGACTCCGGACACTGTACATGAATTGCGTTACATACACACAAATCAAACCCTACCAAAAACTACCAACTTAAGCAAAAAACAACCAAACTCCATTCCCCAACGTAACAAAACCTCAAAACACATGCACACAAATTCATTTATGTATGTATATATGTATATATATAGCTTAGCTTATATGTATATATATATATCTGAAATTAAATGTCACGGACATGGAAGATGTTAGGGTTTTTAACGACGATGTCGTACATGTAAACGGAGTTAAACTTCTTGAAGTCTCTGGGGAGGGAGATAAGGTCAATGGAAGATTCCCTGTGGAATTGGAAGAGGTCTGGGTCTCCATGGTAATACCTCTCCCACCCTAACGCCGTCAAGATCTCCTCCAGCGCCCGGTACGACCCCACTGCCTGCCCCGTCGGCAAGTACACCAGCGCCTTTCTTGGCTTTCCGCCGCTCTGCTCCGCCGCCGGGTTCTCCACCAGCCGGAAAACGCCGTTATTGAACATCCAAACACCCGACATCTTCTTAGTACTCAATGTATGTATATATGTGAAGATAATGGATATGAGAGGAAGTGGGAATGAATATTGTGTTTTGTGTTGCTGTGGGAGTGGAGGAGGGTTTGATGGGTATTTATAGGTGTGAAGGAATAGATAAAACAAGGGAAATATACTTTGGAAGTGGGATGAAAAAGATGATGCATGATAGATATATATATATATTATATATAGGCTTTTTTGGTTAAGTTGATATAGCTACAGAATCTAGATATTGTGGGAACATTAAAGCTTTTTGGTTATATATCATAAATATATATAAATATATATATATATATATATATATATATATATATATATATATATATATATATATATTATAAAATATGTTTACGTAGCCATCGTTGATTCCCTTGGTTTGGTAGTGGGGGTGAGGGTGGGTGTGGGAGGGGGTGGGGGGAAGGGGGGCTAGTTTATATTTGGTCCACACTCCACTTCACCTCAGCTGATTTGATGTATACTTGTGGTTTTAGTACTACTACTTCTAGAATACCTTGTAGTATATGATGGGTTTGTGGTATAGTTTAAGGGTAATTCTTTTTGTTTACAGAAACATTAAGCTAAACTTATGTGGGCGATCAAGTTTTTTTTATCAATGTAATAGAAGAAGTGGTATATATTTTTGAGAGATGGCTGGTAATAATTATGAAAGATTTTCTAATTAACAGATTAAAAAAGACTTTTTTTAGTATTCAAGAATTTCAATCCCTTTGAGGTGGTTAAAAATAATGAGTTTTAATTTTCTGTACGTAGTGAGTTATATATATATATATATATATATATATATATATATATATATATATATATATATATCTTTTCTTTAAAGTACTGCCACAAGATTGGAATTGATTTATTATGATGTAGTTTAGCAGGTAGTTAATAAATTATATCGTTTACACTCTTTAAAAAAAGATCGAGTTCTAATTCCGTCACTTTGATCCCCATCCCATCATTTATACAACCGTGTGCTTTTGAAATATAGGTCAACTAGTTAATTAATACAAAATAAGTTCATAAGTTTTGCTTTGTTAGCAAACATTTACTGACAAGTAAGCTAATTAAAACATATTCCGCAATTTAACACTTCCACCCATACTTAATTAGGGTAAGAGTAATGAGGAAACATTAAAATAGTGTGATATTACCATTATTAAAAAATATATTTAATTTTAGTTTATTCCAATATTTGTTGTTGACTTTTAGTTATGAGGCATCTTACCCTTTATATCTAAAACTATATCACTCATACTATATATGAAGACATTTCAAGAGATTAAACACTATGTACTATTCTTGTGAGAAAATTATAAACATTTTACACCGAAAGTAAAATTATTTTAAAATTAGAGGATTAAATAATGCGTCAAAATTAAAAGTTAAATACGTGCACATTGTGAAGTTTGTAAAAAAAAAAAAAAAACAAAAAAAAAAAACAAAAAACAAAAAAAAAAACGAAAAGATAATATAGTGAAATTTTTTTATTTTAATTTTAAATTATGACATATGTCGTGTACTATTAAGATCAATCACTTATCAACACGTCAAAAGTTATAATTAGTAGCGAAAGCACAATCTTATTTTCTCATATATAATCGCATAGCAATCAATGTCATATTTTGATAGTACGATCGATAATGGAGTTGACCATCAAAGCTTCCGCCCAACATTTTTTTTTTTTTGAATGAGCTTCCGCCCAACATAATCGTTATAAAATATTAATAACAAGATATATTCTATTTCTATAATATAAATGCCGATTGTTTTTGTGCCGTACAATGTTGTTAAATAGTAACAAGATATATTCTATTCTATAATGAATGGTTGATCTAACATAATGATGTTATATGAAATGAATTAACATAAAAAGGGGAAATGCATATAAATAATTACAATGAAAAAAAACTACATTTTTTTTTTCTTGGATGGCAAGAAAAGCCTACAAAATCACTATGCGACGGTTAGTACAATACATATAGTAAATCAATTCTTATATAATAGCTCGCAAATTATATACAGAAAAAGTAAATCGTATTGCGTAATAAATTACATTTATTCTTTCAAAAGGTTGAATCCATAACCTCAAGGGCCCCCACCCCGCCCGATAGATCATTTGGGAGGATGTAAATCACGATGACTCGTGGCTCAGCAGACAAGGCCAAATGTCGAGACGCACAGGGATCTGCTCCAAATCCACCAACCATTATTGATTCACATAGCTGAGTGGACCCTATTATCAAATAATGTACATACATTTAGTATACAAATAATGTACTTTTAATATTTTAAAAATGTACATATTTAAAAAAATACATTATTTGAGTACTCAGAAAGTACATTATTTTGTATAATATATTAAAAATTGTGCATGTAGTGGTAATTAAGTGTTTGGCTCTAGCTATAATTTTCGGCGTTGGTATAAATGTGTAGTTAATGTTGAAGTGTAGGCTCACTTTTGGCGTAGTGGTATACTGGTATGTGCAGTTGAAGCTGGTCGGAGGTTGGTAGGTGCTCATTTGACAAATATTCGATGACTAATAGCTACATTATTTCCTATGTACTCACACCTGTGACATGGGATTAGTTGTAATTAAAGATTTAATTAGCATCTATGATTGGGGATGATAAATTTCATTTTGTTAAGCGATCTGCGAATTGCGCCGCCCACACTATAGCTCGGGAGGTCGTTTCTTATAAGTCAGGTTGCGGGGAATGGTTTAAATCCCCACCTACTTTTCTTGTTGATTGTCTTGCTAATAATTTAATGAATTAAGCTTTTATCTTTTTAAAAAATGACTTTTAATCTTTTGTACGTGTATGTTCTGCCTTAATAATAATGTAAGTTTTGACCCTTAATAAAATGATTCTGAACATTAAAGTGAGATAAAAATAAGTTTTTCAGGTCAAACATTTACTATTATTGTACACAAAATTATAACTATTAATGAATGTATAGCTTTATTTCCTAACCAACACTACTAAAATGTTAAATGTGACGCTCCACACGTACAACAACAAAAATTACAAATCAATTATTATAAGATGCATGCATATATAAAATAAATGAAAGGCAATTTTCATATTTAATTTCTTCTGTCAGCTAATTATGCAGTGTACTAATTAGACAAAACATTGAAAGAGGACACTTGGATAGTTCCGGCCTTATTGCTTAGTACAATCAATAAAAATCAACTTATCTTCACCCTTCAATAATCTTCCAATAATTGTATGTGAGCTAACGACTGAAAAATGGAGATAAAATGTCACACTATCAATGAAAAAGACTGAAAACTACATGATATGATTTTAATTAATGACATGTGATTATATATATTTTATTTGGGAAAATGAACACGTACATTTAGTCTTCAATTATAATCATGGAGTATATATAGATTTTATCTATCAATTACTCATGGTGTAAGTTATACCCTAACAGGGCGTTTGGTTGGAGGGAGGAAATTATGTGGGAAAGGAATTGTAATTTCATGGGAGTTGAATTACTGGGAATAAAGTGGGAATTTGAATTCCAGTGTTTGGTTGACAGGAATAGAATTGCTAGGAATTTCAATTCCAATGTTTGGTATACATGGGAATTGAAAGGGAATAAGTAGTATAAAGTCAAAAATGTTCATTATTGTTGTTAGACATTAATTTTAGGTTAAAAAAGGAAGGAGTAATTTTGACTCATCACTATCTTTTTTCCCCAGGAATTAAAATCCCAGGGGGGACATAAGATTTTAATTCCATGAAAATGGGGGAATTGCAATTCCCTCCAACCAAACTACGGAATTTAATGGCCTTTGGAATTAGGTGGGAATTAAGTGGGAAGGGAATTTAAAATCCCTCCAACCAAACGCCATGTAAGTTCATATTAAAGTATGTAATAGATTTTTAGTCTTTAGGGTTGTTGGGTTGAATCAACTATCCAGCTGCCATCTAAACGTAGGCTTACTATTACGCAAGTTAGCAAGTATAAATAAATATAGTTGCGCATTTGTTTCTAGTTATAATTTTTATCATACGAAATCTTAATTTTAGGAATCAAATATGAGACCTCATTAAAGCATTAACCATACACTATAAATAAATAAATGACTAAATTGACACTATGATCAACCGTAATAGTAACTAATGAGAGAAATTAAAAGTCATTTTCTTACTTGTTTTTTTTTTTTTTTTCATTCTCATCCTACTCTCCTAGCTAGTCTCCTTTCCCATCCATTCTTTTTGCTTCTCAAACATTCATCTAATCTATAGAAAGTATCTTTCTTTTTTAAGGTTTTGACAGGTGATTCTATGGGGCTGTGTAAGGCCACATGCATGATATTGACTATGAAATGTTGATATATCATGAACGTAGTGTATATATATATCCTTTCCATACACATATATATAGATACAAGTTAGAATTAGCTAGGTAGGTTAAGGACCACAGAAGAGGTAAGTCTTTGTACGATGTGGTCTCATCCATGTAGGATATGGGAGTCTCACATGTGATCACATGGGCAATTTGGTCCAAATCTTTTGGGGCAAGGTAGTAACTCAAGTGTCTTGTCCAATCAATCATTAGCAATTGGGGGACACCCATCCATTAATCACTAGGTAGAGTACAAGATACTACTACTAGGAATTTTTTTAAGGAAAATGCTATGTATATTTCTATTTTCTATTATTCACACACACAAAATCTTGATGTGGACACTTATTTTGGAATTCACATGAAAAACAAATAATTTATTAGAGTCCGCTACATTAGGGAGTAAGATTTGAAAGCACATGTTGTAGAACTCTTTTGTTAATGCTAGTTGGATGGACTTGTGTAGAGTAACCCCAATAGGGTTTTATGGTGGTTTTTAGAACAGTAAAAAAATTTGTTGGTTGATTTTAAGAAATGTGGGCATTACTTTTTTGTTGCATTGGTTAAAAAAAAATATGATCAAACCAACTGCCAATTAACCTGGCACAGTGTACTTGCCTATTCTTGTCAACAACTGCCTTCAATTCACTCTCCAGCATCACCTATATACATCTTTTCAATTAAACATAAGAAACCATACAATGGATGGGATATATCCATAATGCAAGTTGTCTTATTAAACATTATAATTTACAAATATATATTCACAAAATTAAAGAGATACTTGATTGTGCTACTAATCTAGATAAATAATACACTAATTAAGTTTCAACAACCACTGTCCCTATACAGAGGGACAGAAAGGCAAGCCATCACTAACATATATATTCTTGATGTGCTTATCTTAATTAATTAATTAATTAAAACCAACGGCCTTAATGTTATATTACAACATTTGCTTAGTTCCACTAAGTGTTTTTAATGATTTTCCATAGTTGAATTCCTTATTTAATTCTCACCGGGCCAGGCTACCCAGACTCATAACTATGACAAGTAAATTTTGATATTCAGAATTGCACAAGAAAAATTGTTGGGAGTGAAAGATCACCCTCACGGAATTCAAACTCTTGTTCGTTACTTCCATCTTAGTAGAATTTATAACTGCTTTCGTGATTATTGGATCAACCCGATGAATTTTGATTTTCCTTGTATACTTACTTTTGATGAGAATCATAAAACAAAAAAAAAAAAAAAAAAAAAAAGTTTTAAAATACGCGCCCAGTAGGCAGGATTCTTGCGCTCCATATGCGCAACGATTTGCTTTTGTTTTTCATTTTCTCTCTCTTGACGGGTCCCACAAAAAACCATTCATTTCAGGAGAAAAATCTAACCAAAAATCACTATTCTCATTTGATAAAAATCAACCCTCTAGTTTTTTTACTGTTTTAAAAACCATAAAAAAAAATTATATTGAGGATGCTCTTAGTAGAATTTATGACTACATTCATGATTATCAGATTAACCGATGGATTTTGATTTTCCTTGTGTACTTTGTTTTGAGAATCATAGAACAAAGTTGGCCTCCACTTTGAATCTTAGCTAGGTTGTGTATGTTTGGTAATCATGAGAATAAATATGCATGAACTTTGAAAACTAATGGAGCTGGGAAAGAGAATTTTTGTTGTTTAATCAAAATTAAACTAAATTAACCTTAATATATAAAATATGTGTTGATTCTTTCTCCTTTAAGAACCCTAGCTACCCATCCATTAGATTCTTTGAGAAGACTTTGGTATTATATGGTAGAGCTTCAAAAGGATAGCTTAACTCGGTTGATATGTTAGGTTATCACTTACAATATAATATATTGGTTCGTCATTATTCTATGAGTCATTCATTTTTATATATATTTATTGTAAAATTCTTTGAAGTGCGTGCATGTGTAATGGTAATTTCTTACTTAGTGATTTAGAGAAGTTTTTAATTGCGTATAAAGTATTATAATCTCTTACTTTGAAAACGATATTTTTCTCCTTGAGACAATGAAATTTCAGGATCAATCGCTTAACATTTCGACATAACACAACTTTATTTATTTATACTTACACAACAATTAGTACCACAATTTGATCGATGACAGGATGCTGGACTATACCCTCCAAGCCCCACCCAACAATACTAATGAATACATGTGATTATCTTTAATTGAATTTATTAACTCAAATATTCTCCACAAACTTATTTTGTCTATGTGGAAGTAATATTACTAGACAAGAATATGATGTTGCTCTACTTATGAAAAAGTGATCCTCTACTCAACAACAATGGAGAATGAATCAAGGAATGTTATACATAAGAACCAAGGCCAAACAACCTTAATTGTTTAATTACCAACTAAATACATTTTAAAAATTAAAATCCTCCATAAACCTAGGGAATAATTTATAATTTATATGTCAAAAAGTTATCAAGAATGTTGGATCAACATTAAGTACACACCAAAGACAAAAGGTGGGGAAAAAATTAGTTATAAAATCATTGATTTATATTCCTGCCAAAGTTAATTAAAGCGTAAAGTTATGTGCCCTTGATTAGTCAATTAAAATAATTTGCTTGATTGATTTGTAATTCGATCGAGAATAAAGATTTTTTATTTTTTTTTGAAATAAAACATACCAGCTTATATTAATAAGAGACCAAATGTCAAATACAAGATTGTACAGAAGAAAAACAAATACTAGAAGAATCAGTCTGGGAATCCGTGGTCTGAGCAAGTGAATGAGCTAACAGAGTCACTAACCTGCGCATATTGCGGAAAGAATTTAAATTAGTTGAAGTCTAATGTGATTATTAGATATTAAGAAATTTTCTTTTCAAATCAAAATCACAACTCTTGATCTATCTCAAAAAAATTTAGATGTCATAAGTAGTCTCCTTCACTAGATAGGTTGGCACTAGACGAGTACGTAGACGATTATCACTTTAGATAGTTTTCAATGATAGCACCAAATAAAGATACGAGATTTAAACCAATACCCTAATCTTCTTATTAGACAGCAATGCATTTAGAGCATTTTCAATAGGAATTTTGGCTCAATTTTTTGTTAGAGTTTTTAGTTTAATTGTATGAAAGAGGAAATGGTGCATGTGATGATCGAAATAGCCCGTTGACTATAGCATTCGATTCGTTCGGATAGGCGAGGAAGAAGAATGAAACGATGGCGTATAACTGGCCGCAGGATTAACGAATAAAGATGGGCTTGGACCTTCGGAAAATTTGCCTGCGTAAGGACTGTGGTATGGCCCATTGCCTATATGATGAGTAATGTTTGGGCTGGTAGGCCCATTTACAAACTGGACCTCACATAGTCCAAAACTCAGAAAAATATTACGCCCACCGTGGGGCTCGAACCCACGACCACAAGGTTAAGAGCCTTGCGCTCTACCAACTGAGCTAGACGGGCTTCTGTTTTATAATCATGCTAGAAATACTTATCAGTTTATATAATTATATTATTCTACTTTTCTTAAGATATTAAGTCATTATTACAAGGAAAAAATACAAAAAAAAAAAAACCTTATATAAGATCCTTCCCAACGAAAAAAATTATCCAAATAACAATATGAAAAAAAAACACCTCGTGTTCAAACTCTACATCTCTATAAATTTAAAAAATTCAAAAACTAATTAGGAGCAATAAGAGAGAAAGATTTGACTAGCTATGGATAATACATCACTAGTGTTATGTTTTCTAATATTTTCATTGTTGAAACTCTTGCTCGGTTGGCGTTACATATATACATCTACAACATCTTTAAGCTAAGGCATACTTATTTTGTTTTTGTTTTTGAGTGTGTTTGATCTTAGATAAGTGTTAAATGTATGTAAGTAATGTAACACCAACATAACAAAAGTTTTAATATTAAAATATTAAAAAATATAACACAAGTGACATTTTATGTATACTAGCTAAATAAAAATGTAAAGAAAAGTGATATATTATTATTAGTATGTAACAAAAGTTCATGTTTTAATTTTAGTTTGAATTTCTTAATAAAACTAAATTTCAATAGGCTTCATAAGCTATTGAGCTAAAGTCAATCTCGAATATTAATCTCACCCAAAAAAAAATATATATATAAATTAAACAACAAAATAAATTTCACACATTTTCATGAAGCTAAGAGATAGAAATACTAGTCATTAAACAATATTGTTTATTAATCCTATGAAATAAGAGCAACTGAAAATTAGATTCAAGTCATAGGTATAATTACTTTACATGAAGTTATAGGTTAGCATACACACTAGAAAATAAGCTCTACACAATGATAATAATGACCATAATACAAATATATTTACAACAAGTATATGTATAATTACATATGAAAATGTCCATAAAGATGAATGAAATATAATTATCATATAGAAAAATTCCGGCGTCCACCCAATCAAATCTTACATACTTTACATATATTTACATTATAATCTTATATATAATTATATGTGAAATCGCTCTACTAAAAAAAAAATAAAACATAATTCTCGTACAAAAATTATTTCTCGATCTCACTCTCCTAGTACTAAAACATTGTTCTGAAGACTGTCAGTAATTTTCAAAAGTGACATGAAATCTTTTGAATCTTTGGGTCTTTTTCCCCTCTCCCAAACACCTAATTTTAGTCAACTCCACACCATTCCCAATAGGCAAAGTGACACACTGAACCACCCCTCTCTTCCCCTTCTTCTTCAACATCTCCCCAAACCAAACCCTATTATTCCCCTCATGCAAAAGATTGGTCGCCACCACCACGCACCCTCTAGGGTTCACCTCCACGTTCTCCCAAAGCTCCATCTGCCCGCTGTCGCCGTCGCCGCCCACGGCCACCACGGCGGCGTCCACCACCAAGAACTCCACTCTCTTGTACTTCTTTACCACCTCGCCGGGGTTTCCCTCCACGAACTCGATCGCGTCTCTCAGGCCCTCGTCGGGAATCAGGTCCTCCGCGTCGCTGCGGTGGGCGGAGGAGGAGGGTGGGAGGATGCAGACCACCCGCCCGCCCGTCTGTTTTGCTGCCACCGCTAAGGCCACCGTGAATGGAGTTGGGCCGCCGGAGGCCACCTCCACCATCAGCTTCGCCCGGTTCCCCGCCGCCAACGCTGATATCAACTCCATGCACTCCGGCTCAACCGGCTTCGACCGCCCCATGCCGCCGCCTTGGTAGTTCAAGACTTTGGACTGAAAATCAAACCAAAACACATATTTAAAATTTTAAATACAAAGAAAACCATAATATGCTATCAATTTTATAGTTATATATTAAGGACTCACTTGAACAAATTAAACTCAAAATTATAGGTGTGCTCAACAAGCCCTACCATACTTATACTACTGGCCAGATTGGTTTTCTCATATAGGTGAGGATTTAAACTCCCGATTTCTCTTAAGAAATGAGAATCCACAGTCACTCACATTAACCAAACTGATTTAAACTCGGAACTATATATTTAACATACAAATAACTACAAAACCCTATTTTTCTACTTTTCTTTAGTGACTAGGATACTTAAGGGTATGGATATAATAAACTTGTCTTTTATAATCTTAGTAAACAAATAACGGGTCTAAATTATTCCTCACTGATCAACTCAAATCAAGAAAACTAATAAAATCACTTAAAATTTTGCTACCTCTTAATTGTATGTAATAAGATCCATTTACCAACTACCCAAAGTTAACCGTCATTCTTCCAAGTTTATAGTTAGATCAAGGACTCCCTTGAACAAACCCTAAACTATTTTAACATAAAATAACCATAATAAGAAATGATCATTAAACTACTCAAACTTGAATAGATTAAAAGAGATTAAAGTAGAGAGTTTACAAGTTGAAGGGTGTTCAAGTAAGCTTCCATGGCTTGTTGGGGAGACCACTCCATCATGAAAGATAATTGATATGTTAAGTTCTAAGCTTGAACTAACCAACCAAAACTACTTTACTTTAATTTTCTCCGGCAAACCACTCCGATCCAAACAGCTACCTAGAAGGTGAAATGGTGGATCCAATATTTATATACCAGAAAAGAATATGGGATGGACTGCATAAATATATTATTATAATCTGATCTGGTGTAAAAAGGTGTATGGGAATTTGATGGTGAAGAGGTTACGTACGTTCCATGCATGATGTTTGGTGAAGATGATGAGACAGGTGGCAGCAGGTGAGGCGTCGAGGGAGCAGAGTCATCTGCACGCGTGGCAAACCCACAGCGAAAGCGTGCACGTGACCCTGCCTACCTGCGGCGTTAATTAACAGTAGAATTTTAGGATGTTGTGTTGGCCTGTTTCAGATTTTTTATTGGTCAAAGGGGACACTTGTCTGACCCGTTCATTTGCATGCCTCCACGTTCACGCCTGTGTACACTGATTACTACGCTTTTCGACTAGCGTCAATGAATTCCTAATTCGATTAAAGTTGTATTTTTGCCATTATTAGGTAAATTTTATTTTGTGTAATAATAAGTTTGCAAATTATAATTGAAGAGGTCAATCTTATTCTTTTTTTTTTAAGGGTGTAATAGTGGGTTCGTTTATGTGTGTTAATGTGTTCACAAATCACACAATTAAGAAAAGTAATTGATTTGATCAAAGATAATACTAATAAAAATGAAACTTGTTATGTTAAGGTGCAAGAATCATATTCTGTCCACTTGAATATTTTGGTTATAGAAATGAGTCAATGTCATCATTTTAAAATAATTTTAAATCAACAGGTTGTGCCATATCCGGTGATACTATTCGAAAGTAGAATTGGTTAAACTTTATTGCTGCATGTACAATAACTTTCAAACCACATACGAGAGGTAGTGAACTTGACCAAAAAAGATGTTGGTCAGAATTTAACTCATCATGATCTTTCTTTAAAAATATGTATTAAAAAAAAAAGATTAATCGAATTTGTGATCTTTAAATACAATAACCATGTATGTTATATTCACTTAGTCACTTATTTTAAAGCCACATTACTTTTCTTTTTTTTTTGGTTATACATATGAGTCAATGTCGTTTTCAATTAATTTAAAATCAACAATTTGAAGATTCTATTAACTAGGTTTGGTATGTTTTAAATCCACATGTCACTCTTACTTTTATGCACTTTTACCTGAATCGCGTGATTATCTTAGATACAATGTACGTTTTTGCTGGACATTGGTGATTATATTATATTGCTGGTAGTTATAGCTTTGTGGTAAATAAATAACCCGGAAAAAACGCCCTTCTGGATATATTCTCTCATAATTTGGCTATCTGTTTTGATTTCTGTTCCTGTATATATACTTCAAATCATCAAACGGGTGGAGTTTTGCACTATTTGAATGATATTTGCAGGAAGCTAAGGTAGTCGGTCTCCTCTGTTGGACTGCATTTGGTTAGGAATATATATATATATATATATATATAGAATATATATAGTAGGGATCGGTCTGAGGTAACGAGAATGAACTAGTGGTGGTGGATTACGATTCAGAACGAATTCATATTCACTAATCATTAGTAATGATAGGCAATTTATATCCTACACCACGGCGCGCGTTGCACTATGCGCCCAGATGCAATACGACGTCGTTTTAATTATTTTTTTTTTGAAATTTCCCGCTCCAGTGAATGGCAGTGGTTTTTTCTTAAAAAAAAACCCGCTGTTCAAGAATGTACATAATGTTATACTAGAATACACATAATGTTATACATGAATGTACATAATTATATAACAAAATATACATACTCTTTTTAAAAGATAATACACATAATCTAACATAATACATAATAAACATAAACTTTTAACATAATACACATCAACTCTTAACATAATACACACAAATTTTCTGATTCGGATGTACATAATTGTATAAAAAGAATGTACATAATTGTATAAAAAATACACATAACTGTATGAACTAATACACATAACGTTGTGAACAAATACACATAACGTTGTGAACAAATACACATAATCTCAGCAACTTCCTACCGCGCCTCCCAACACTACCCCAAAACGACGTCGTTTTGGGAGGCGCACAATGCTATGTGCGCCGTGGTGTAGGATATAACGATTGGTAATGATATATACTACATCATCATCTAATAGAAGATGGTTTTTAAAATAATCGCTGCAAATACATACTGCGTCACTTAATAGACGTTAATTTTTAAAATAACCATCGTATATACGTCAATTTAATTTATTCTTAAAAAAAATTGTAGTGTTTACGGCGGTTAATCAATTAACCGCGTGTATATACTATATATTTAAAACAAAAAAAAAAAAAAAAAAAAAAAACCAAAAAAAAAAAACAAAAAACAAATTTCTTGCTCCACACCTATATTAAATATAATTAACATTTTGGAGTAAAATAATATATTTTATGTGTTAGAATAATTTACTTTATGTGTTATAATAATATACTTTAAAACTAGCTTGTGCCTTGTAGGACCTTTTAACCCACATAATGTGGGTTGGCAAATTATGATGTGGAACCGTGTCCACCTTGCAATGTGTAAATGGTTCCAAAACGGCGTCGTTTTGGTGGAAAATGACGGCGTGTCAATTAAAAAAAAAATGCTTTATTTCGCTATTAACGGCGTTTGTCTTCATAAAGTCTATGTTCATAATTATAGAACTCTAATTTCTGAACTCCATATTCACAATTATTGAACTCTATATTCACAATTACAAAACTCTATGTTCATAATTTGTAAACTCTAGAAGTCTATGTTCATAATTACTGAACTCTATATTCATAATTATAGAACTCTATGTTTATAATTTTCGAACTCCATATTCACAATTATTGAACTCTATATTCACAATTACAGAACTCAGTATTCATAATTATAGAACTCTATGTTTATAATTTTTGAACTCTATATTCATAATTCTTAAACTCTATATTCACAATATTTTATGTCGTTGAATTCTTTTGATAATTTTTTTTTTTATAAAAAAATCTGATTGGTGGAGGAAAAACAATGTCACTAACGACACCGTTACTCATAAATTACAGAACGACGTCATATTGGACCCAAGTCCAACCTTGCATGTCCATGGCATAACAGTCCATGTAGGTTAGGGCCAGACTAGCCACCAAGAACCATTAAATTTTTAGCCCGTAGCTAGGTGGGCAGCGCAACTTGCATTGTGCAAATTATGTTGTGGATCCGGGTTCACCTTGTAAGGTGGACTCAGGTCTAAAATGCGCGTCTGGAATAACGGTGCCGTTAGTGGCACTGTTTCCTCAATCAATAATTATTATTTTTTAATATAAAGTTCAAAAATTGTGTTATACTGTTTAAAAATTATGAACATAAAGGAACGAATTCAAAAGACTAATGTTAACAAATTGAAACAATTTTATTTTATTTTTTAAATGCAAAACAACGTTGTTTTGGATCCGGGTTCACCTTTCAAGGTGGACCGGACTGGGTCCATGGCATAACAATTGGGTCAATGGAGTCTACGACCGAGGTTCAAAACAAGTGGACCATCACTGTTTGCTTGGGAAAGAAGGTTGGGATTATATATTATTGAAGTGTGTTTTACTCAAGTTTTGTTACAAAAAGTATTTATTATTTATTATTTAATAATTTTTATTTGCTTTAAGTGTGAAAACTATATAAAGTTTAAATAGCTATAAAGTGATAGATAAACTCAAACTAATAAATTTATGATGATGAACCGTGGCAATTGTGACAATGACTACATTAAAAATAAAATAAAAATTAGAGACTAGCAGCATTTTATTTAACACAAGGTAATAAGTGGTATAATTATAAAAATAAAAAGAATTGGGCAAATTTTAATTATTCTCACAAGTTGATAGATCTGAAATTAATTTGGTTGGTGATGTACTATAGATAGGGGTAAAGCCGGTAAATGGTTTTTTCTTTTTTTAATTATGGATAAAGTTATCATGAACAAAATTGGGAACAATCTTTTAACTCTTCTTGAGACATTTTACATGATAATTATAATAACACAAAGTTTTAAATCTTACATATGTCATATGTGAGGGTTATTTATTGACTTCATTGATTTGAGTCGGTCAATTAAGAGTTGGTAAAGACAAGTTTTAAATCCCACTTATATTATAATTATTTATTGATATTCTTGGTTTGAGTTAATCAACTATGAACAATTTAAGTTAGTTTACAATTTACGTATTTTGATCATTTGTTAGTTAGGTCACAAGGCAAGTTTCACCCGAAGTGTATATTCAAATAGCAATTACGTACTTTTATGTAAATCAAAGTTATGATCAATTGTTTGTTAATCAAAATATTTGATGTAATAAAAACTAATTTTATTCATTAATTAGTATGAATAGAGTTGTCTCACCTCGCATTGGAACATAAAATTGTTTATTATTACGATCAACTCCAACTAAGTTTGTCAAGTTATTGGTTTGATAATCACAAGGATTCAAGTGTGGCTCTCAATAAAAGTAATCTACTGACCTGTTTAGTTTGAATCGATTCATTATGAACAACTTAAATTGGCTTATATAAATAAAGTGTCGATTATACTATAATTTACAATTTAATTATCAACTATGAATTTATCACTTAATTATGTAAAATTTACTCAAAAGTACACCGTAAGCCTAAATTGAATATTTTTTTTTTGTATATAAGTTAATTTATGAATGGTCTATGGGCTATTGTCATTTATCAATTTTTATCATTTAACTTTCAATTGGACCATAAATTATCTATTAATTAACTATTGATATTTACTAATTTTCGTCATCGACTTTCAATTTAATAATAAGTGATTCATTGGCCATTTATTTATTTTTTATAATTATATTTTTTTTATTAAAAAGAAGGGGGATACCCACACCTACACTGAGGCTCAAACCTAAGACATCCCATATAAGGGGCAAATTATGCTCTGCATCCGTATGCACCAAGCATGGTGCATACCTATGCAAAAATGACGTCGTTTTAATAAAACACGCGTCTCCCCTTAAAAAAAAAAATCAGGTTCGATTCCCAGCAACAACATATGAATTAAAATTCCATAATCGATGAACTATATTTCCATAATCGATGAACTATAATTCCATAATCGATGAACTATAATTCCATAATCTAATCTATGAACTAAAAAATCCAGAATGAATGAACTAAAATTCCATAATCTATAAATTAAAATTTCAGAATCGATGAACTACAATTCCATAATCGATGAACTATAATTCCATAATCAATGAACTATAATTCCATAATCTATGAACTAAAATTCCATAATGAATGAATAATATAATGTTGTTGCTGGGAATCGAACCTGAATTTTTTTTAAAGGAAAGACGCGCATTTTTTAATAAAACGACGTCGTTTTGGCATCCGTATGCACCATGCATGGTATGGTGCATACGGATGCACAGCATAACGATTCCACATAAGGGGCCAATCGGATACCAGTGGACTACAAGCCACTTGGTTTTTATAATTATATTTGGTCATCTAATTAAATTTAAGCGTACTAATGTAAGATTTTAGTTATTCACAATGATGAACTCAATGTATTAAATTGATGAATTCAATGTGTCCATCTCAACAAGAAGCTAATTTTTACATTATTATTCTTAAATGCATGGTTGAAAGAACCGGTAGGCGCCTATCGGGCGCTCGGGGAGCGCCTAGGCGGGGATTAATCAGCACCTAGGCGCCTGTGTATTTTTATTTTATTTTTAAAAATTTGTTTAAATTTTTAAGACTTGATAATTATAAACTATTTACTGGGTAATACTTTAATAGTTAATACTAAAACATTAAATATCAACTTAAAAACATCTAGAGTTTGAAGAACAATTTAAGATTTTTTTTTCTCGCTCAAAACGATGTCGTTTTGAGTGAAATAACTCACTTAAAAAAGAATGGAATAATAGTTAATTGGCCGACTAGGCGACGTAGTCGGTACCTAGGAGGTCTAGTCGGCGCCTAGGAGGCCTAGGCGGCTAGTGCCTAAGTGGCCTAGACGACACTTAGGCGGCCTAATCGGCCAGCCGCCTACATCACCGATTATGGTGATACACTAGGCAGCCGACCAACGCCTAGTGCCTAAGCGCCAATTGATCGGTGCCTAGGCGAGATTTTTACAACATTGCTTAAATGTAATATTTATTAAATGAATATTTAACTAAAAGATCAATTTTAGAACAAAATCAATAGTGAATTGACCATTTATAGTCATATTAAAAGTAGATGACAAAATTTAACAAAATCAACGGTTAAAAGACCATTTATAATTCAATTGAAAGTCAAAGAATAAAAATTGATAAATATCAATCTTGAACCTATTGAAATTAACTTTTTGTATAATTAATAGACTATTTGGATATAGTTATTACTTACGGAGTAATACTCAAATTATAAGAAAAATTATGATACAAACGAGAGACATGTTTTGAGTATAACTCTTCATTAAATTTATTAAAAATAAATAAAAACTAATGTGTATTTAATTTTGTTTTTTCAGATTTAATGAAAATGCCAAAATAGATTTTCGCACGGAGACTGAGGGAAGGTGTCAAGGTGGGATCTGAATCATCCGATCTTCTCTTCCGTCAATTCAATTCCTCCGCCACCGGCCGCCACCGACAACGCCGCCGCAGCAGCCGGATTCAGTGATCTGATTAAGTGCCAGGAAGTCTGGAAACTGCCGCACTGAAACTCAGTAATTTCCACTCGTGTCCCTCAACATGAAGAAAACCTTCACGGAAGCCTTGGCCAAGGCGTCGGCCGTGATCGAGAAGACCGTGCAGACCACGGTGCAGGAGGTCACCGGTCCACGCGCTTTGCAGGACTTCGAGCTCTTCGATCAGATCGGGTCAGCCGGGCCCGGCCTTGTCTGGAAGCTCTACTCTGCCAAGGCCAGAGACGGACACGCGGTTTATCCTAACGTCTGCGTGTGGGTTCTCGATAAGCGTGCTCTCTCCGAAGCTCGGCAGCGAGCTGGGCTCTCAAAGACGGCTGAGGATGCGTTCTTCGATATGATTCGCGCCGATGCTGCACGGCTGGTACGGCTGAGGCACCCTGGAGTGGTGCATGTGGTGCAGGCCCTGGATGAGAGCAAGAATGCCATGGCGATGGTTACTGAGCCGTTATTTGCTTCGGCTGCGAATGCCCTGGGGATTTTGGAGAACATTGAGAAAGTGCCGAAGGAGCTCAAAGGAATAGTAATATCAAATTTCTAGTATTTTTCATGTTCACATACTAAATTGCATTCGTTTAATTAACATTTGCTTTGCCTGCATATCTGAATTTGCTTGAGAATGTTTGTAGCTTCTTAATTTGATAATCCAATTCAGTGCTCGTCTGGAACATTTTTAGCTGTTCTGACTTTGTCTTTAGGCTGACCCTTTGGTCTTAATTTCTGTTTTTTAATTCCTAAATTCGGAAGTTTTTCCTAGACTGTGAATTACATTAATTTGTTTTTTTTTTTAATGAATTTAGTCAGTGATTTCTCTTCAATGGAATTCAATACAGACCTTAGCAGATAGAGTGCTGAAAATATTAGTGGCTGGGACTATTCTTGTTTTGAAATAGGCTCCACTTGTAAATTTTGATGTTTATAAAGTGTTATTCTTTGTCTCAATTGTGACTTTAAGTGTACTCTAATTCAAGGTTCTATTAAGAGAATGCTCTGTATGCACCATATATGTATTCAGAATGCCCAGTTGGAAGAGTATTGAGTTTAAGAAGGTATCCATTGTGTACTTATAGTTTTCTTATAACTTCTTTCTTTATGCAGGAAATGGGATTACTAGAGGTGAAACATGGGTTACTTCAGTTGGCAGAAACCTTGGATTTCCTTCACAACAATGCCCGTCTTGTTCATCGGTCTATATCTCCTGAGGTTATATTCCACGTTTTTTTTTAATGAGTATGCATTTGTAGTTATGGCTTTCAGGAGTGGGCATTATTAGGGAAGACCGTAGACTTTTCGTAATTCCATTATCATTTGATTTCTTTTTCTCTTCCCTTGAATTTTGGAATATAAGTATTATATTATCTGTATTTTAAATTAACTGCCAACTCTCAGAATTCTAGCTTTTTAGGGAAAGTTACTTGACTTCATTGATTGTTGTACAATGGATATACTGTTACTTCATAGAACTTCCCTTTTTCATGACTAAACCTTTTACTTTTTACCTTTTTAAAAATCCATCTTATCTCCGTTACTGTAAATATGATTTATTGTAAAATTATTCCTCACTAATCATTCTACTTTGTCTTTGTCCCTTGGTATCTAATTTGAGGAAAGAAAGAATTGATTCTTGCAGCTTGTTTTTGTTACTGGTAGTTAATTTGTTGAGGTTTTTATTTGCTCCACTTATGTAATGAATCTTCCTTCAAATGGCTATATAGTTTTATAGGTTGGAATATATGAACTATGAGTATGGAGTATGATGCCACTTCTTAATACCTTGTACTCTCTCTGCCGAATGTGTTTTCAGGAATTATTTCCTTAGTATTTGACTATTTTGTCCATTTAATGTGGCTTTGGTGATATTTTGATGATATTGTTATGATAGTGATCGTACTGGGATTAATAACTTAGGCACTGATGATCAGTGTCCTCTTCCAATTCAGTCTATTGGATGATTTATTACTAATTAACAAGTGATTTTTTTTTTCTTGATTGGTGGTTTCTAATTCCCATTTTATTTAGTAGAATTAAATATGTCAGTTGTCATCTTGCAGACTGTCCTCATTACCTCAAATGGAGCTTGGAAGCTTGCTGGATTTAGTTTTGCATTATCAACAAATCCGTCATCTAGTGATCCATCCAACATGCAGTCTTTCCATTATGCTGTGAGTAGATAGTCATAGAACTAGGCAATAAAATCTGTATTTGCCTTATGAAACTGTTGTTAGTATTGAATTTAGGTCTGCCACTGTTGATTAAACCTTTATATATGCTTACAGTAAATACTGTCGTATAATTTCCCATGTTATCTTGCTGTATCATGTTAATTAGTTTGTTAAGCACTCTGGTAAGGATATAATGATATAAACTCAAATGAAGTAAATACACCATTCTTTTTCTGTATGTCTCCCAGTTTTGTTGATGGTATCTGTGTTCCCAGTGTTGACAGAATAATGTTTTTTGTACTCTAGGAATACGATGTTGAAGATTCTATTATGCCCCTTCAGCCATCATTGAACTACACTGCTCCTGAATTGGTTCGAAGTAACACAAGTTCTATTGGATGCTCCTCCGATATTTTCAGTTTTGGGTGTCTTGCCTACCATTTGATTGCTCGAAAGCCATTGCTAGACTGTCACAACAATGTCAAGATGGTACTCAATTATATTTCATTTGTGATATAATGTACCTACTATATTCCTGAAATGATTTCTCTTTAGATCTAGTACTTGAGTGATCTATATTGTTTATTGACTTCACTATCGAGTTTTATGTTGCAATTGATAACTTTGAGTTTCAATTTTTCTTTTAAGGAAACATTAAACATCAATTCTGATTTTATATTTTGTAAGTCATAGTTTATTCTGATAGCTACTTCTATGTGCAAGTCATCAATGCACATTATATTTCAAAAATTTAATGTCTAAACTTTGTTTTTTTGGTTACATTTCCACATTGAAGTATTTCATAAGTCATAACAAAACCATTTATATGCAGCTCACTGCTCATATTTAAATTGCTGCTCCTAGATCCCTAGGGAGGAGCTTTATAGTTTACCTTGATTAAGTTATTATGAATCTCAATACTAGACTAAGCTGGAGGGAAGCAGGAGCAGGTGTAACCATTTTTTTTCCTGCTTCCTCAAACCATTTTGTGTGTGGGTGAGTTGTTGTGACTATGTCCTTGTTCATTCTGGTTCCAGGTTGAAGGTTCTTGATTTGTTTTAGAAAGTGGTATTCATGTTTTCAAAGAACCAGCGTACACTGTGTCTTTTATTTCTAGTTATCCGAGTTTGTCATATCCTCTTGGTGGTGTCATTCATTTCATGTTGAAAATGGCATATTATTTACCCTGTATTTTGTGCACAAACCTTTCTGCTAAGAGTTAAGATACTTGAGAAAGAGCAACCTGTTAGTATATGCCATTCTTATGTGTTGAACACTGCTGTACTCCACTACTCTGATACATAAAAGTTAAATGTTTTCAACTTAGGTTGGCTATTCAACAAAGACATCTCTTTCTTGTTCAATGCTCTAATTACACCATGAGTTCAAGCCCTGCAAACAATTTTCTATTCAAAATTTAGGTTGCATCTTGCTTCCTTAGATATTTATCTTCCCCCTTTATGGAAGACCCAGACACACACACACACACAATGATGAGTGGGGGTGGCATTATAGAACTCTTTGTACTAGAGGAGGGGGAAGGTTGTGGCAGGGGGACTCCGGGAGTGATAGAGTCATGAAGTAATATAATAGGCTCCCTGCTTCTCAAGAAGTATATCTACTGTTGCAAATATTAATATATTATAATATTATTCTCTAGGTAATATAATTCTTTCCTGTTTCGGATTGCTTTCTTTTGTCTAGAATTTTCAATTTAACAAGTTTGGATTTTATGTCATATCTGTATTCCATCCTTTCTTTTGATGATAGTGGTTCTTGCATAACTTCTCTGCAGTACATGAATAGTTTGAATTACTTATCCAGTGAGGCTTTCTCCTCCATTCCAAAAGAGCTAGTTCCTGACTTGCAAAGGATGCTATCTTCAAATGAATCTACCAGACCAACAGCCATTGATTTTACTGGTAAGGTTGTTAGATAATAGCACTTGTGTCTTTTGTATTGGTAGTATATTTCGGTCTGGAAATCTGGTGCCCTTAGTTTTAAAGCTTTAACGGAATTGATGGCCATAGGCATTTCTGCTTTCTGCCCTCCCCACCTCAAAGAGAAGACAAACAAAAAAGAATAAAAAGATCTTTTTTTCTGAAAATTACAAAACCAAGCTGTGCTGTGGGATTGGATTTTCAACTTCTGATGTTTATGCCATGTGTTTGGAAAGAAGTGAAGAGTAAGGATTGTTTCTATCATTGGGGGAGTGAGGGAATACTGATGTATAGGATTCCTTTGTTATGCCAGAGTTTCCAATATAAGAATAGGACTAACTCCATTCTTTTATTACAATGTGTGAATAGATACTATGCAGAAAATCATAAGGGAGAGGCAATTTTACAGGTTATGACATAATGGGATTTCAAACCCCAAAATGAAAATTTAAAAGCATAGTAAACATAGAAATGTAGAATGTAGAAATTTAAAATTACTTCACCTAAAGTCGCCTGCGCCTCAGAATGGAGACATACATTGATTATTAAGGATGTAACATGCTTGTATTGTTATAAAATGATGTTGACTATAGTATTTTTGTCTTAAAAGTTGCATTATAAACCATTTATATATCATTCTAAATCATAAAATTTAATTTTGCCATTTTGCATTGCTTTGTATGCAAAAGCAATGCTTCGCTAGTTTGCTTTGTGCTTTAAAGCAAAGTGGTCCACTTTTGCTTTAGTGCGCTTATCGCTTTAAAAAGGTTTGCTTTCACCAAAGATGCCTTTATAAATGCATAAAATCAGAATAATGGGCAACACCTCTTTTATAGATCCATACATATATATGTATGCATCATTCATACATACTTGTATATGGTCTCTCTCCCTCTCTCTCTCTCTCTCACACACACACACACACACACACACACACACAAAATTTATTGCTGGCTTATATATAAGGGTGTTGCTTTAAGGACCCAGTACTTCATTTACTAAATTCTATTTAATTTCTCTTTTACAGGTTCATCCTTTTTTCGAGATGACACTAGGTTGCGTGCTCTTCGCTTTCTAGATCACATGCTTGTAAGATCTTTGTTTTGACAAGGCCAATTCAAGAATTATACTACTCTCCATCCCATTTGAGCTTAAGCTAATTTGATTGGATATGGAGTTTAATCAATTAGAAATTAAATCAGATTATATCTGGTAGTTGAATCATATAAGTTAGGTGAAATACATCACATCAAGTTAAAGCAGTTAATCAACTAAGTTTGAGTGATTGAAGTATACATTTTAGTGTCTATATTGAAATTACACAAAGTGGTGAAAGCTTGTGGATTTAAGAACAAGTTTTTCTTGCAGGAAAGAGACAACATGCAGAAGACTGAGTTTCTAAAAGCATTATCTGACATGTGGAAAGATTTCGATTCGCGTGTACTTCGCTATAAGGTTTGAATTTTGTGTTATCTTTCAAATGTGTTATTGCTTAGAAGATGTGATCATATGCAGTTTTAACTTTTTGTTTTTCAGTTTCTTCTATGTCAGAAGTGGGTGCCATGGTTGTCTTGGTTATCAAGTGGCACAGTGCCCCATAGCTTACCCTTAAGAAGCAAATACCTCAATGCTTTCCTATAAGTAGTCTAAGGAGAAATGTCTTAAAAATATAGTAATGAGCTCATCATTAAAGCAAAAAGAAAATCAATTGCCTGCCTTTTCAACTGAGAATTTTCTTCCATTTTGGTTGATAAAAATAAATTTTAATGTGAAGCCCCATTATTTCTAAGCTTCTTTTTCCTAGTTGTTTGGGGATGGGGTTGTTGGATAAAGTAATCATGTTTACAAGTCAAAGATGTGTACCTCAAAGTGCAGCGATAAAAGATTGACAATCAAGATACCACATAAATAAACTTAAGGAGTAAGAAGTTTTTAATGCCATTGAACACTGTATTTACACCAGGAATAAGGATTTATTTGTTCTGTACTTTAGATGCACCACTGGACTAGAAATTGTATGCAATCTATGTCTTTCTATCCTTTCACAACATTGACATGAGACAATGGTATTTTTATATTTTATTTTTAAGGACTTTGTTTGAGTTTAAATGGGGTTGAATAAACATATAGTTATCCCTTTAAAAGGGGCTGTGCAATTTGTAAGGAAAGATAACTTTGCTATAAGAGGATCTACAATATTCTTTGTTTATGTTTTTATAGAGGCAGTTTCATTGTTGCACCAACAACCTTATTAGTTGCTTTTAGTTTCCTGAAGGGCTGATTAACTTGCATGTCTGTGAAATCATATGTGCAGGTTCTTCCTCCACTTTGTGCAGAGCTTAGAAATATGGTAATGCAAGCAATGATTCTACCAATGGTTCTGACCATTGCTGAGTCTCAGGTACATAGCTGGTTTATAATGCTTCTCTGAACTTAAAATTTCATGTTGATCTCTGACTCTAATTTACCTTCTTTGAGAGCTGAAGTTTTTTCTGAAGCAGCTGTTGGTTATGAAGGACAAGAGCATGACCATTATTTTTTGATAGTTGTTGCATTTCTTGCATGAGAATGGCCTGATGTGCCAATTATTCCTTGGCTAAATTTTCAATATTTAGAGTTATTGTATCTTCAAAATTGTTGCAGGATAGAAATGATTTTGAGTTATCAACCCTACCAGCTCTTGTTCCTGTGCTAAGTACTGCTTCTGGAGAGACACTATTGCTACTTGTGAAGCGTGCAGAGCTTATTGTCAACAAGGTAAAAGCTTATTGCCTACAAGCTCTTGGTTAATCCTTTTGATGTTTATAATACAAAGACACATGGGTATCTATATATTTTTAACTTCCAAACTCTTGTTTGGCTTTTGTTGGTTTCCTTTTATTTTCTTTACTAAGTTTTGGATTTATTTGTAATTAAGTTGTTGCTTGGTTTAGAGTGATTTTTTTTTTCATCAATTCTTTGATAGCTGGTCAAGATTCTTTTTTCTATGTGCTTATCAATTATCGTGTACTCCATTTTAATTTTGTTTCTGGTGCCTTTGTCTTATAGGCAAGTAAAGATCATTTAGTCACACATATTTTACCTATGATTGTACGGGCTTATGATGACACTGATCCAAGGTTGCAAGAAGAAGCCCTAAAGAAGACCGTGACACTTTCTAAGCAACTTGATTCTCAGGTCATTGCTGGTTGCATTCTTCTTGATAGCTTAACTTTCAGATAGAAACATCTTTAGGGTTGTTTATTGTCACTGGACTAGTTCATACATTATTATGTTTCTTACTTGAGAAGTTAATGTGTTTTTTTTTTTGTTTTTTCTTTTTGCAGTTGGTAAAACAATCCGTTGTGCCTCGTGTTCATGGGTTGGCACTTAAGACAACTGTTGCTGCAGTATGTTTTTCTGTTTTGATTTGTTTCAGCCGAAATCCTTTAGAATTTGTTTCTTGAATAGAATGATCAAGAATTCCCGTAAAGAATTTTGTTATTATTGCTTTTCAAAATCATTATATATATGGAATATATTGTGGCATTTACAATGTATTTCCATTTCTGCAAATTCCCCTTTTCCATCAATTTAATCTCTCTGTTTATTCATTATAGTTAACTGAGGAAATACCTTTTCCTTCTGTCTGCAGGTGAGAGTGAATTCACTGTTATGCCTAAGTGATATGATACACATGCTCGATAAGCATTCTGTTCTTGAGATACTGCAGACGATCCAACGGTGTACTGCTGTTGACCGTTCTGCCCCAACACTGATGTGTACCCTTGGTGTTGCTAACTCTATCTTGAAACAGGTTTTATACACTTTGCTTTAAATCATCAATAATACGATGAGCTTTAATTTTGTTTGTGTTTCTTCAAAGTGTTCTAATTCAATTGCCTTTTCCCCAGTATGGAATAGAATTCACAACGGAGCACGTTCTTCCACTTCTCATGCCCCTACTTATTTCCCAGCAGCTAAATGTTCAGCAATTTGCAAAATATATGGCTTTTGTTAAGGATATTCTCAGGTTGGTTTTCTGTTTCACTCTGTTAATCTGTCTGCAAGTAAAATGACAGAAGTTTTGGGGCCTTAAGATTTGGATTAGTTTATTATGTAAATTGGTCAAGGGCTATACCCCCCCCCCCCCCCCCCCAACCCACCCACCTCCTCCTCTTCCTCCTCTTTCCTCCCTCCCACTCTCTGACCTTGATTTAGTATGAGTTTCAACGTTTTAACACAATTTTCTCAAATTTTAATTTAAACCCTTACCATCCTTATTCTGTCAACCAGATTTTTTTTTTTTTTAAAAAAATAATAATAAATACGAGTTTTTTTGTTACGCTCTCCTTTCTTGGTTTAATAAAAGAAGCAACAACATGTGTTTTGGCTTGGGATGCAGGAAGATAGAAGAGAAAAGAGGCGTAATGCTTAGTGACTCTGGAGCACCAGAGGTAAAACCATCCGTTGGTATGGAGGGCCATCTGGCGGGGCAAGTAAATAAAACTAGTGTAACTGCTCCATCTACTACAAGACGCAGCACATCATGGGATGAAGACTGGATTCCCACGAGAGGATCTTCAGTTGCCCAGCAGTCATCTGTAAGCTTATTAGCTCAGCCGACTGTTGCTGCTCAGTCCAATCAAGTGACTTCGGTGTTCTCAATGTCGCCTGTGACTTCTGTTGCTTCTACCCAGCAGCCTTCATCTTCATGTGCTGCGGTTGATGTGGAGTGGCCACCTAGATCCTCACCCCTTGCTTCCAACATATCGGTAGGTTCTGAGAAGCAAGATGAAAGCAAAGGAGCATCAAATGGTAGTTTTGGCGATATTGATCCTTTCGCCAACTGGCCTCCTCGATCTAGTGGCTCTACCGTTGCTTCTAAACCTCTTAACAATGGCACATCGGCCTCGCCTTTCAACATGCATGGTTCCAGTAACAGCACAAGCAATCCTAATCCGTTGGATAGCCTTTCCTCATGGTCTCTTGGCACCTCAATGTCTACAGAGCCCTTGAAACCGAACCAAGGGAATTCCACGCTGAATTTCGGTGGTCTCAGCGGTGGTGGGGCTGTTAATTCCCAGAATTCTCTTGGCTACATGAAACAAACTCAAGGCTCTTCTACGAAACCCATGGATCTTGGTTCCATTTTCTCCTCAAACAAAACCGAGCAAACTGCACCAAGGCTAGCTCCACCCCCATCAACTGCCATCGGTAGAGGAAGGGGACGAGGGCGAGGAAATCAAGGGCAACTATCACGGCCTAGCCAAGCAAAGCCTCGGACAGAGCAGCCACCCCTGTTGGACTTGCTTTAGTGGAACAACCACGCTGCCCCGGGAGTTAAAAAAAAAAAGCGGTACATATCAATCAATCTCTTGTATTTTGCGCATCCCACGCGGTCGGTGACTTGCGTTTTACTGGAACGGAGGTTTAAAAAAATGTGTTCATAACGCCACTGGCTCGCACAGTTTTTGCCTTGAGAATGAAGCTTGTTGTAGAATAGTCCTATTGATACTTTGTAGAGAGTATAGTATGCCGAACTTTTACGTTTTGTGGGAGTTTTCATGTTATTATTATTGTTTTTGCGTTAGTAATTTACATTATTCATTTTCTTGTGGAGAAAGGGGTTGCCTCTTTGTTCATTGTAACCTTCAATACTTTTGGCTCCCATTTACCTGACTTCCTCATAAGTCATAACTAACAATAGTTGTAATTTGGAGTTGTAATCGATAATAAATGTCACATTGTAGTTTTTATAAGTTACTCCGTATATTTTAACTAAGGTGGTGGCAAGAGAGGAAGGCGGAGGCCAACCATTTCTTCACTTCTTCAAATTGGTGAATATATGTCTAACTTGTCAAAATTTAGAAAAAAAAATAAAATAAAGAGTATTTTTTCAGTTTTTCAAATTTGAAAATTGATAAGTAGACGAATTATTTATTTATGTAAAATGCTAATCAGATCAGTACCTCTCTTTATTAGTTATTGGTAAGATTTGAACCTTGCACCATACAACAACTAGCAAAAGAAAGCTTATAAATTTAATTTAGATTGATTAACCAGTTGAGATGTGTTACAAGGACATGAAATACAATAATTGAATACTATAACATGTAATAACTAACGTACAATAGTTAAACTTTATAATATGTCATGACGTACAATAATCGAACCTTTTGATGCACATAACAATAGAAGTATGGGGTTTAATTTCTAATTAGGAACCCATGACCCATTAATTGTTGTCCGGTTATGGTAACTTGCACGACAAATAGCCATTGGTTTAGTTTGTTCGTTTGTTGTTGTTGATGTAATGCGTGTGTTTTATTTTTAAAATGTTAATTTATCTTTATTATGAAAATCATGGACATTGGTTTAGTAGATAAAAAGTCACACTTAAAACTTGCTTTCAATAGTCAAGTGAGAGTTCGGAGAGTTAGTCGGGTGAATGTTCAATTCTTATTATGAACATTAGAGATTTGGAGAGCTTCCCATGAGCCTTTAGTCCGGCAAAGTCAGGAATCTAGATTATTGAAAAAAAAAAAAAATGACGTTAATCCATGTAGCTCTCGTGATGCTTACCAGTAAATGGAATAGGATCACCGATCATATTTCTCTAAAGATGGTGACTAATATAAGTGAATAAACATGATTCTCATAATTGAATGTCACAAGTTTAATTTTTGCTAAGACCCTTTCATTCAGATAGTGGTTGCGTGTTTCTCTCATTATTTAGAAGAAAAAGAACATAAGAGAATTATATAAAAACATATCTTTAATTTCTGTAAAAGTTGCAGAATATTCGATCCTTTCATAAGCTAGTAAGGTATAGGGAGTGTTCAGTAAATAGCTTTTAGTTGTTAGCTGTTAGCTGATTGGATTAGTGAGTTTGATTAGTTGATAGTAAAAAGTTACTTTAAGCAGCTTTAATTTTTGAATTTTAGCATTTTGAAGCAATAAGCTGTTACAAAAAAAGCTAAGTAATCAAACACTTATATTGAATGTTTAACCAAGTCAAATAACTAATAGTGGTCAAATATATCAAAATTAGTTGATAAGCTAACTATGTTACCAAACAAACGCTAGATATTTTTTAGAATGTAGTATCTGTTCATATACTTTCTCAACCTACTGAAACTGAGGCTCGAACACACAACCTTCCAAATGGAAATCTAACCCGAGTAGCATTAGACCATATAGTCTTGGTAACCAAACGCTAGATATATTTACTTCAAAAGCCAAGTTTGAATAGTTAATCAATCATAACTTAAATTCCCATTGACCCAAACTTTCTAAAGTCAAAGATTGCATCAAACGTGAGATAATATTCCCACCTTTTAAATTCCCAGGAAAGTTCAAACTTTCCTGGCTACCAAACTCCCTCTCAAGGTAAAATCTCCTATGGAATCGCTTCACGAATTCTCATCTATGGGGTGGGTTGAATTTTTCATAAGTATTATACTTTCTCTCATAAGTATTACAACTTTCCTCATAAGTATTAAGTAACTCGATCTTCAACCCCTAATATTACAATATGATTTTAAAGTATTACATTTTTCATAAAAAGAATATAATTTTTTTCTCATAAGTATTACATTATTTTTTTATAAGTAGTGACAAATACATTTATTTGATCCATAATTAGTATTACACTTTTTCTCATAAATAACTGTTTAACCCATAAATATTACATTTTAATTTAAAAGTATTACATTTTTTTTTTGCAAAAGTATTATATTCCCTTTTATAAATAACAAATAATTTATTCATGATTATAATCCAACATAAATGTTACATTTTTATTTTGATTCGTAATATCTCACAAATAAAGATTCCTAAGATAATTGTAAAGAAGACTCGCTCTTCATTTAGTTATTAGTTATCAAAATTGTTGTTATCACCCTTAGCCTTATCCTGAAAGAAATTGGGATAAATCCATAGTGATTTGACTGATTTCTCTTTATCTGTCTTGTCTTTTGATTTCTAGCTAGAAAATTTAAGGAATTAACTACCGAAAGTTATTTGGAACAACTAACTCAACGACATGAACTAGAATAGAATGAATAGGAGATGGAGTTGGCGTGTTGGAACAACTCAATTCCAAACTCCCAATGCTCATAGTAAGAATTGAATATCCACTCTACAACGAGGTGTTTTAAACAGACCCTAACTGTAAGAAGTATCTTTAAACTCTTAACGATAAGAGACACTTTTAAGCCCTTAACTGTAAGAGACACATTTAAACCCAGATCCCAACTGTAGAAAGCACCTTTAAGCCCTTAACTGTAGGAGACACCTTTAAACCCTTAACTGTAGGAAACACCTTTAAACCCTTAACTGTAGAAGACATTTTTAAGCCCTTAACTGTAAGAGACACCTCTAAGCTCTTATTATACTTAGATTAATCTTCATTCGTTCACACTGGACCGGTCTAATTAAGGGAGAAAGTGTTGATCAGATTAATTTTAATTTTTTAAACAAAAAAGGATTCAAACTTTCAACCATTCTTAATAAATAAGAATGTATGGTCATTCATATCAATCAAGCTGATTAAGTTTTCTATGTATATCATACGTACATACATAGCGCAACTATTGATTTAATTCTCCTTTCAAAAAAAAAAATTAACCTTTTAATCGAAATAAAATGTGTATGTATTCAATTATGACCACCTTAGTTCCATCATAATCCGCGTGCAGTGGGCCAGTGACCAGACCGAAATACTAAATTAATATTTCTACGCAACGTAAGTTAGGACGACTTCCAAATTAAGTTTCAATGGCGACCATATATACATGATATGATGTTTGCGTTACATATATACATTCATGATGGTGACACAATTTGTTACTTAGAATACAGGTAATTAATAACTAGAAATTTCCTAGGAATAATGTTTCAACTGTCGTAACCGCCTTAGTTATGTACGTGTTAGTTGTCGTGTGATTTAATTGACTCAACTAGACCATGCACAATTGCACATGTCACTATCTAACATGGGTTTAACAAACCCACAAGCTTAAGACTTCTTTATACTAGTACAAGTATCATATATCTTCATGTACACCTTACACCTATGTATATAGATCATAACAAAATCAAATCTTGAATAGACTAGGTTTAATTTTTATCAATGTTGTAAAAATCACTAGGTACCCGATTTTTATATTTTTATTTATATTTTTGTTTTTTATTAAAAAAAATAAACTGAAATTCGGCCGCCTAGGGCACTTAGGCGGCTGATCGCCTAGGACGACGATTCTGTCGAATTTCTAGGCGGTCGGCCGCCACCTAGCGCCTAGGCGCGATTTTTACAATATTATTGGTTTTTATATATATCCTCAATGGGATCATTACAAAACACTACCACCCACCCACCCCCCTCCAAACCCCACCCCCAAAAAAATCATTTAGCAATTTTTAGTAGTGATTATATTGATCATTACAAAACACTACCAAAAAAGAAGAAGAAAAATAATTATTTAGCAAGAAAAATAATTATTTAGCAATTTTTAGTAGTGGTTGTGAAAACTACTATATATGAAATCGCTAGTGAAATTGTATCTAGCTACCGTTATTGAATTATTATAAAATATATTAACAACGATGATGGTATAAAAATCGTTACTATAAATATATATATGATTATTAAAGAAATTCTATGATGCTAATATACTATAAAGGCTAAAGGGGTAGTAAAATTTTGATTTTTATTGCTAATTATGATATAATGAACATATATGATGAAGAAATAAACATATAATATAATGATAATTTATTGAAAATTTTTATTGGCTGCTAAAATAACTCTCTATAACCGTCTGATCTCCTTCATGCCTCTGCTCTTCCTTCATGAAGGTTTTCACAGCATCCATGGCGACGACCGCCGGCGGCTCCCCACGGCAAACCATGATGGTGGTGACGGCGGCGAGGGCGGCAGTCCCAGGCGTGGCCGAAAGAGCGGACGCGAGGGCGGCTGAGCAGCTGCTGAGAGAGCTTGGACATGACGTAGGACTGGCCGGCGATTATGCCGGCGGTGGAGGGGTTATCGGCGAGGACGATGGAGTATCCGTCGTCGAGGTTCTCCATTCCCTCCGCCGTGAGCTGCCAGACCATGCAGCCGGCCATGGTGCCGCCGGATTTGGCGAGGTTGTAGGTGTCGGTGTAGACTTTGGTCATGAAGGCGTCGCGGCCGCCCTCGGTGAAGCCGGGGTCGCGGCTGGACTTGCCGAACTCCGCCAGGACTAATGGCTTCTTGAGGATGTTTTGGGAGTCTTGCCAATGGCTTCCGATCCAGCTCTCCATGAACGCCATTTGATCGTCGTCACTCTTCCCTGACTCCCTGCAAATATAAACAAAACAATCATCTTTTAGCTACCCATTCAAACCCTAACTTAAACCCGAGTGTCTTGGTCGAGAGGGTAAATTGGTAAATTGCACAGTCTTGCGAGGCCGAGAATTGGACACTCGGGGGTAAATTGGTAAATTATACAGTCTTGCGAGGCCGAGAATTGGACACTCGGGGGTAAATTGATAAATTATACAGTCTTGCGAGGCCGAGAATCAGACATTCGGGGGTAAATTGGTAAATTGCACAGTCTTGCGAGGCCAAGAATCGAACCCTCACGCAGTTATTGTCAATAATGCAACTAAAAAGAATAGAAAGGAAAAAAAAAACATCCTTAAACTAGGGATCAAAACCCCAACCATGAGGCTACTAATGTATAGTAGAACAAATCATGGCAAATTA